TTTATTGTATGACGTCTATGATCTATTTATTTCGACCACTACTTATCGCTAAAGCCATCTATAAGGAAACGGCGGAAGCAAAGTTGTACACCTAATAGATACATGTGTTCGTGAAGATCAACAATAATAATTTATGATATAAGATATTAATAATCTTATATTTTAATTTTATCTTATATTTTAATTTTCCCGACAAATTAAAATTTTTTAAAGATTTTTTTTTAAGATAGAATCAGAGCAATGCATTAATTCCGTTACTGCAATAATTCAACAGCTCAAAAAATCACTTTTACTTACGTCTCCAAAGGAAAAAAAATCAACTCATTTTATCTATCATGTTTTTTTATTTGCCTTTATTTATCTGCTGTAATCTACCTTATCTATGAAATATATTATGAATAGGTTCGCGATGCTCTGAAGAGCATTCCTTGTACAATTTGGTGGCTGGTCAGGTATTATCTGGGATTAGCCAGCAATATGTGGTGGGCAGTGCTGTGTGGTTGCTGGCTGCTAAGCGCCAGGAATGAGTGGAGCAGCGAAGCTCTTTATGACATCGCGCCCTATCTTCATGCGGCCGCGTGGATTCTTCCAATATTTTTCACAGGAGGTAACTTTATGCATCGTATAGATCTAAAATCTATTTACATTAAATGCTGTGCGAGTCATTGGTAACGATGGCTGACACTACTAAACACAAAAAACGCATCAAACTTGTAAAAAATATTTCTAATTTTAAATATTGTTAATATTAAAGTAGTAATCTAAATTAATAAATGTACTAATTGCAAAACAAAATTTCATTCCGACATCGCTGGAAAAACAAGCAAATTATCCGATATTGAACGTGTTAATTATGCAACATTAATTCGATTGTGACACTTTTTTATTTGTATTCATACATTTTTTTGGAATATCGTATGGCTCCGTGTAAGAGCGACGAATTTGTAACCGATAAGTTGCGAGTTCAAATCCTGCATCTCATATATATGAAAAAATTTCGTAATCCATACTGACTTATTATTAGCAGGAGTCACAGAAGACATCTTTATAGATCTAAATAACTCTGATTTTAAGATTCAGACATATATAGAGACTAATATGATCTGATCCTTAGACCGCACACATTCCTCTCATTACTATTATACATTCTTTTCTTATTGATCCATTTCAGTTATAGGTTTTTTATTTATAGTTATAGCTTTTACATTTATGATTTCTTTAGAATGAACCATGAATATCTTTCTTCATATAGGAAGTCTATTGTCGCGTAACGTGGTGGCAGACGAATTAACCGGATTGTGCCAGATCTCAGACGAGTCAGCACTGTGGTTAGAAGTGTTGCCGCACGCGATGCTGCTATTATTGGGCTGCGTGTTTGGTAGCGTTGCTGGAAGCGCGTTGGTACGCGTACGGAGGGCCGTGCGCTGCGCTGGACGCAGCGCAATGAAATTGGAACGCCTGATGACGCGGCTAGGTATCTTCGCGCTATTGTACGCGCTGCCAGCACTGGGTGGTCTTGTCTGTGTGCTGCAGGAGGCCTCGGTAAGGCCGCGATGGCGAAAATTGGCATTGTTGGCCGCATTGGACTGTCGCGCGACGCAGAATTGCACCCCAGGCCCGGTATACCGAGCTGCCGGTCTCGAAGTTGCCCTTCTGAGACTTTTTCTGTCCCTCGTAATCGGCGTCACCTCCGGCATGTGGGTATGGTCCGGCAAGACTTGCCGTGCTTGGAGCAGACTACTCGTTGCACCCAACAAATCCGCCAGGATACAAAACCCTTTTCAAGGTTTCAAGCAAGATGACAATATCGCTTGACGAATGGTCAATGAATCTAATGATCATCAACGATGCGACATTAAAAAAATGTTGAAGTTTCAAATCTTGCGGATGTGCTTTAAGTATCTTAGACACTTTCTCAACATTGCGCGCGTACGTGCATGCCTGTATAGGAATGTACGATTTTTGTAAATTATGTATCCTTATTGCAATTGTGATCTTCCTTAAGGGAATTCTAAAGTCGTCTGTATTACCGACTAAATCATATAATTTTTGTATAACAAATACTTTTCTTCTCTTTTACAGATTCGAAAATCCTTTTCCAGGATTAAAGTATACGCATTAATACATGTATGTACATAGTGAGATGGAATTTATGCCGAGAACGATCAAAAATTTCGAAATTGATATATTTTTTACCATTTTTTAGTAACATGGCGTTTCAATTGTCAAATCGTGTTATATAATAATATTGTATTTGCTTGATACGAAAGTTTTGCAACTCGTACTTATGAAATAGTAATCCACAAACACGTAGTTGCATGAATAAATAACGTCGAGTTCTTAGAGTTAGACTTAGATGCTTTATCGCGACGAATTTGTTACGCGAAAATTTATATGCAATTGCGTGTATCATGTTACGTGAGATATTGGTATGGTAGTATATAAAGATATGTCGAGGCGTTTAGTTCCTATAATAAGAGTTAGGATAAACCGCTGCCATTAATAGTCAAATACTACAAAGACTATAGACGATATACAGAAAATATGACGTCAAACACGTGTAGCCGAATTCAATTAAATGAGCATGGTATGATTAGAAATAACATTCTTTAACAAAGAATCTCGTGTAAATATACTGCAAGTTAATGACGAAAATATGAAGAATAACATCAAATACATGATTTTCTACAATTTGTTTATAACTCGTGGTTATGTTGGCTATTACATATAGATTCATTTGAAATTAGCAGTTGGCTATTACATATAGATTTCGGCAATCAAAAATCATTAGCTCGATAATTAACTCTTATTACAGTATCTCTAGATGCGCTGGAAAAATAGCGATCTCTGATGACTTTTTGTCGGAGTTCGGGGCTTCAGTTTAGGATTTCCTTAAATATCATAAACGTGATATATCGCATCGCGATTTGTATATGTTGTTTACAAACAACATTAACGTGCCTATCGACGGCGCACTTTACTGAACGGTTTTTATTGTCGCTCGCTTGCATTTGATGGTAGGCCGAGTGAATTTGATTATTTTCATAAATTAATATCTGATTAATCATTTTGAAAATTGCAAAATGGTAAAGAACTTTTCGATTCAGTTTAGTCCGCTCTATTTACACAAAAGCGCTTGGTTTTTCAGGGAATAAAAAATTGATGGACATCTATATATATGTTAGGATGGAGTCCCGTGAAATATATTTACCTCGTATCGCGTAATCGCGTAACCAATCAGAAGTGATGCGCTGTTGTGATTTCGCGTTTTACTGATTATTGATTGGTTACGCGATTACGCGATATGCAAATACGCTTCATGGGACTTCACCCTTAGTGTAACGTTCTGACAGTGCACATCACTAATTGGCTGATTTAAAATAAAATATTCTCAATGGGCGCATTCAGCAAATTCAACAGTTGAGTGAATGTTCGCTGATATTTGGATATTCTTGTAGATCTAAAATTCTGATTGGATAAGTTAAAAGAATACATCAACAGCGATCTTCAATTGTTAAATCTGCTAAATGTGTCCATTGGTAAAGAAGAAGTTACTAGACACGGTCGATGTGAATGAATGTTTGCTATCACACTGCGCTAAGGAAATCCTCCCCCTATGTTGTACATATTGTAAAAATAATACCTGCTTCTAATGTATATTTTAATCCTTAATTATAATAATTAAAATAGTCGTTAGATTCATTTTCTAATAACAATGAAAGCATATTTCGATGAATATACCAATGAATACAAGTTTAATAAACGCTAATCATTTATATGTATATTATTAATTTTTAATTTTTATCAAGCGACGCAGAGCCAATGTATGTACTAAGTAAATATTGCGCAATTTTAACAATCAGTATTGGCCTAATATCAATTAAACACAGAATGTTGGCCAATAATCCTAAGGAGCATACTTAGTGGCATAAGTTATAGAAATAGTTAGAAATATTTATACAACTTTCTTAAAAACTTTGTAACTTCTCTTACAATCTTTGCAACTTAAAAGTGTAGGCAGTAACGTCGTTGAAATGTTTATAACAACTAAATGGGGAACTTATACGACTGATTTCTAACATCTTATTAACCACATTAAAACTTATAATATACAACTGTATTATCATTAATAATCATAATGTCTCAATGACCGTCTTAAAGATCATGTACAGATTTTAATACAACTTTCATCAATTATCAAAATATTAAATATTTTTTAAAATAATATTTTTCTTCATATTCATCTTACATCTTAATATTTTTACATCTTAATATTCATCGCATTTGAGATATACGCTGAACATTTATACGCATTTATATTTATGAAAACATAATTTTGACGGGATTTGAACTTAAGATCTATTAAGTGTACAACTTTGCTTCCGCCATTTTCCTATAGATGGCTTTAGCGGTAAGTAGTGGTCGAAATAAATAGATCATAGACGTCATATAATAAACTTGGACATCTGTCAACATAACCTCATAGAAACATTAGTCGATTTGTGTCTGCATCATAAAGTTATTATTGAAAATGTCAGTTTACGAGCCAAATTCTCGTCATTTGCGGGAGGTTTTAATTTTTTGCTTCAATATGAAGAAATCTGCGGCTCATCGAATGCTCTCAAATACTTATGGTGAAGCCGCTATTAGTGAAAGAACGTGTCGTGAGTGGTTTCAACGCTTCAAGAACGGTGATTTTGACGTCCAAGGTCATGTATTTGGTGGGACCAGCTCGGCGTAGTGTATTATGAACTGTAACCGACTGAAACAATCACAGGCGATCGGTATCGAACGCAATTGATGCGTTTGAGCCGAGCATTGAAAGACAAACGGCCGCAATACAACGAGAGACACAATAAAGTGATTTTGCAGCATGACAATGCTCGACCCCATGTTGCGAAAGTGGTCAAGACATACTTGGAAACGTTGAAATGGGAAGTCCTACCCCACCCGCCTATTCTCCAGACGTTGCTCCCTCTGACTATCACTTGTTTCGATCAATGGCACACGGCCTGGCTGACCAGCACTTCCGGTCTTATGAAGAAGTAAAAAATTGGATCGATTCGTGGATAGCCTCAAAAGATGACCAGTTTTTTCGACGCGGGATTCGTACGCTACCCGAAAGATGGGAGAAAGTAGTGGCCAGCGATGGACAATACTTTGAATCATAAATGTATAACCAGTTTTTTACAATAAAGCCTCGAATTTCGGAAAAAAACGGCGGAAGCAAAGTTGTACACCTAATATATATATTATGATAACCTAACACGCTGAATCCTGAACTAATTGCGCATGTCTACACAGTTTACAATTCGACAGTTACTCGACAGTTATTCCTTAGTAGCGATCATGTATCAAGATAGCCAAATAAGAGCAATATATTGTTATTTTACTGTCACTTATTATTCAATTTCACCGTATTCAATTTCCCCAAACTAAAGCCAAGATGTTTCTACAAACTGTCTGTTGTTCTGTTATGTAAAGTCTTTCTTTGATCTCCATTAATTGCGTTTTTTATTTAAGATGATCAAATTTTGTATTACTTTTGCACATTCTATTTTTTTCGCTAACTTTTATCGGTTGCTGCTTTAATATGCTTTACTCTCTTGTAATAGCTACTATTATATTTAAATACTGTTTTCCTTCCTAATTGATATTTATCCAGATATTTATAACTGTAATTATTAAATATAAAACTACTAATGAACGCGTACACAGATCAATAGTAATCAATAAAATAATCTCATGAAGTATATAACATTATACAGTTATAATGTTTTATAAATATATATATTATTTCTACGCAACAACGTCCATATTCATATGAATGTTCTGAAAACCTGATATTATAATTCAAAAGTTGAGTTAAAATGTAAACGTTTCAAAAACAATGACATTTATATCAAGATAACTAACATAAATAAGTTATATAGACAATATAAAATCTTAAAAAGAATATTATATACGACTAATTTGTATCTATTTGAAGTCGTATGAATATTATAAAAACTTCAAATAGTTATATAATCGATTTAATTTAACTATTTTAACATTAACTATTTTGTCGTATAATTTTCCGATATGTGAGTACAAACGTTCTACGGAGTTGAACTTTTTCATAACTTTGTGCTCCTTGAGATTAGCAATTATAAATTGACTAAATTGGTATCTTATATATGTAGTTTCGCATACTATTTTTACATTGTATTTGATTTTTACATTACTGACGACTATTCACTTAAGACAATTCTTGTCCGAAGCTTTCAATTATATCTTTAACAAGATTGCGAACGAATTGCACTTACAATTAATGAGAGCGTTTTTGCAACGTTTCAAGTTGTCATATCTTAAATTTTATGTTTAACTGACATTTTGTTACATTTATACTATACTGGTTTTAATAATTATGGATAATTAAATTTGTTAAACATTGAGAATGATCCAATAAAGGGAAATGTTTGTTATTATGTTATAAGTTTTATTGTTATTATATGTTACAGTTTTATTGGTTTAATAATTTAGCACTAACACTTACATAACTCTGACTCATAATTCCTCATTTTATTTTTAGTTATTCTAATTGAGCCTTGTACTACTATTAACTTAATTTTAAATATATTTTTCCTATGTCGTTGAAAGATTTTGTTTTGATAAGAAAGATTATAGCTCAAAGCGATAGCATCATGCGAAATTATTGTCGTAAACATTTCGTATACCTAACAATTGTGATCGATTATTGAATGGCTGTTTCGTATCGCATGCTTTAATTTGGCATAGAAAGCCGGGTTTATTCAGTGATTCTTAGTCATTAATTT